ATCGTGTGAAGCAAGAGCAGGAAGAACTTAGGACCTCTAGTGTCCATAGCTCTTCTCTACAAGTTTAACAGAGAGTGTTGGAAGGGAAGAGTGAGCTCCTGAGCTTGATGCGTTCACATTCCCAGTTTGCTCAATCTCCATCTTCAAGTTGACATTTGAAGTTTCAGGAATCGAAGTAGCTATTGACATTTGGCGAGGCTCTGATACCATGAAGATTCTTGTTTAACCAAAGAAAAATAAAGAACAAGAAACAAAGGAAAGATTCCAGAGCAGACGAGAAAGAATTGTGAATTTCTTCTTCTAATTTTTCTAACTGAAATATGTTACAAGGTAGCAATGTTTTTATACATTGAATACAGAGTAAAACGCCTCGTTTTCCACTAAGTTTTGTTCTATTACAAACACAACCCGGATATATTGGGAGTTCTTCTACCTTCATTCCAATAGGATGTTTATAAACAAACAAAGCTTTGGGAGGAAGGACACTGCACTCACTGTAGAAGATTATTTCATTCAATAGCCCTTCATATAAAAACTAAAATTTAAAATTATACTTCACTGGCAACTGATCTACTCCAATCTCTACTTTCCCTCACTAACACTTTCATTCAAAGATAAACTTCATAATGAGTTGATAAGCAAACATCATGAATTGTTACATACATTTACTTTCATTTCAAATGAACTAAGAGTACCAAAAAAAGGATTCTTTTCCTTTAATTTATTTTGCCGAGAAGTCATGGTGGTCCCTCCAAACTGTTCGGATTTCATGAGTGAATAAAAAGTTGGATCTCATGACATTTTGTACCCAAAACAAATGTGCTACCAAGCTGCGCTCGAATAGGGCGACCCAAATTTCTTTTCTTTCGATTTGATCAAAGTTGAAGATTCAAAGAAATTCTCCTGGGTGGATTTGGTATTTGGATATTGTTTGCATCAATAATCTTAGTATCCCATTTTTACCTTGTTTATTTGGCAAACATAATTCCATTGGTATAATTGGGGATTTTCCAATATATTTTGTAGCTACAGTGCTTGACGCATTTCCTCACCCCTGGTTCAAATAAGAGAAGTATGCCATGCTAATATGCCTTGGATTGTCCACTATCTCAGGGTCAAACGTTGATGAGTCAAGGCCAAAAATCAAGCCCAAAGGCGTTTAAAAAAGTGTTTCGATTTCTTGTCAAAAATAGTTATATTTCGATTCATTTTTTGTAAGGGTGAACCTCTAGCTTCCACCTTGATAGGGCGGTGCTCTGACCAAGCCCATTACAATTTCGATTGCCTAATACCCAATTTGGTCTCAATGTACTGGAATTCTAAAAACTTTTGTCGCTCCATCGCCACAAGGGCAAAGAACTCGTCGCTTTCTCGACTGTGCTAGCGGAGGCTTGGGGGGGAAGTCAGAATAGTGAAAAACATTGGCACACGTGTAAACGAGGTGCTCTAGCCCAAAGCAATGTCTCTTTCCCCTTCAAGTTTAGGTGGATCGACTCATCAAGTTCCCATGGAAATAGGCTAAGTTGACTTCAAGAAATTGGGTGGGTATTGATGTTTAAGTTTGTATTTAGCCTAAAAATATGATTTAGTTGTTAGAAGTCACCATTAGGGGATGATTGCATGTCAAAATATTTTAAATCTGGGTCATTCATAGGTAGTGTTATGTATTCTTACGTGTGTTCGTGCATTTACTTCATATTATATTAGAAAGAAGATGAAATCATATGAACTCCGACTTCTTGTGTAATTCATGCGCTATCTATTCTTATACTATTTGTGCTCGTCAAATAGCGAGAACATCCACAAATAGCATAAGACTGAAGGGTTCTTGCATATTAGTTATTGCAATTATGCACGAATTCTCTTTTCTTGTGCGCAAGAATGTGCATAAATAGCACAAGAAGTCGAGATTCATGCGTTTCTTCTTTATAAAATCCTAGACACATATAAAACACACAAACATGTGCAAGAACAAGTGAACAACCCAAAAACCATTATTTTAATGATTTCAACTGTCAAATTGAATCTAATATAACACCTAACCCATTGTAACAATATTATGCATTCCAGTCATCAAAATGCAAAGCAGCATACTAATATAAACCCTAAACACCAACCAATACAAGCTAATGATTTACGTGTATATGTATATATATAATTTAAGTCATAAATTTAAATTAAAAGATTCCAACTCTCTACATATAGTATTAGATAAGCACAAGTGTGAGAGAAACTACATTCCAAAAACACATGGATTAAGGAATATATAATATAATATAATATAATATCCATCTCAAAATTATGCTATATCTTGTTATAAGAAAAATGGAAACATATTGATTGTATGTGTACACTGCACACAGACAATGTTGGACCCAGGCCCTTTAAAGGTAGGCCTAGACCTACCCTTAAATTATAAAAAACCAATTTTTTCTATGGAAAAGTCTTCCATAGAAACTCTCTTTATCCTTTGTGATTCTACATGTTTTTATTAATTTGACATTTTTGTCCTCCCCCTTTCTCCTAATTTAATCTATTTAATATACCACATAAATTACTATTAACTGTGATTTTTAATTCTATGATCTAGCCTCATTGTCATTTTATCTGTACTTACCTTTTTGTCTTCAATTTTCCTACCTAATTAATTACTTAACAGAAGTCAATTCCCTTTACTAATAAAATATTCCATGATGTTACTTACACCTCTTTTTAATAGAAATAAAAATTAATAATTTATATAATTATAAACTAATAATCTACTTAATAATTATCATTATATTTCCCTATTTTTACAAATTTTGAATAATTATGTTATACTCTTTTCACAAATCTATCATAAGCTTCAATGTGAGTTTGGATGCCTTAGTTACCTAAAAAAAAAAAAAATCTACCCTCCAACTAATGACATTGACGTGACAAAATTAAAAAAAAAAAATCAGATTATAATTCAATTTGAATCATTCATTGAACTTTGACTATGACAATGTATGTTTTTAAGAGCAAACATAATTATTTACTATTTAATTTTTTTAAAGAACTTAAATATAAAACATTACTTTAAACGTGCATATAACTCAACTCATTTTTCCATTTGACCCTTGCTTTTTCCTTTCCAATTTCATCACAAATTTCTAGAAGACATCAATCATCAATTGTTGAGAGAAGAATTTGAATTGAAAGCAAATTAGGTCAAGATTTAGGGTTTAGGGTTTTTTGCTCTCTTCACATTAAAGAAATTTTTCCACGTAAAAATTTTCTTGTGTTTCCTTATGAATTTGATATTATTTTCAATACATTTGCTTAATGTTTTGTTTCTCATAGATAAATTCAAGTAGGAAAGTATTGTGTTATTGAATTCTTTCATTTCAGCTTTTTGATATTGTATTATTTCCTTTGCTCAAGGTTTGGTGATTTTTAAAAGTTTTCACTAGTTGATTAGCAAACAATGGCGGAATCGTGGAGGCTCCCAAGCAAAAATCCTGGATCCATCACTATACATAGGTGTTGAATCTGTAGACGATCAAGACTAAGGTCAAGAGGCTTCCTGTCTTGTTCTATAAAGTGATATTCCGCTCACTTTTGTTAAATAAATTTGTTAGAGTAGCTCAATTTGTTTGCTCAATCAGCTCTTCCTCTATTATCATTGCATTAAATTTGTCTATTTTTATTGACGTATCAATGAATACATCCTCTTTATTGATGTCATATGCATCTGTATCCTAAAATTAGGGGTGGGAGAAATAATCCGGAAACCAAACCAAACCGAAAATCGGTCCGAAACCGAAACAAAAATTAGGTTTTTTTGTAAACCGGTTAGATTTTCGATTTGCAAAATTTTAAAAACCGAAAAACCGGTTCGGTTTTCAGTTTGGGATGTTTCCCAAACCAATTTTTAAACTGATTTTACCCTATGTATATAAGCAAAATGTGTTTTGATTTTTTTGCCTTTATGTTTTGCAACATCTCATCTCTTTACTCTTACTCTCTATTTCTCTTCTCTGCCTCCAGTCCCCACACTCCAAACTAGACTCCATCTTTGCACTTCGCTAGCAGCGCCACCTACACCCATCAGGCCATCACCAAACTCAAACTCCAAACCCATCCAGCACCATTTCGCCGACACCCAGCATCATCATTCACCACAATAACCACCCACTCACTAGCGACAACCACAGTCCTCAGCTGCTGCACTGTAGTTCATAGCAACCACCCACTCACCCACAACATCACCACAACAACCACCCACTCACCCACAAACCACAGTCCACAGTTGTTACATTGCACTAGATCTATTCCTTGAACCAGGAACAGAGACAACGTCACGACAATCGACCACATCTCTAATTTCCACCACCGTTCAGATCTATAATTCTCAGCTGCTCGCTTATTTTGAATGTAAAAATTGAAGAATTTTAGGGGTGAATTTGAAAACCAGTTTGAAAATGGGCTAACTGGTTAATCGAACCGAATATTCGGTTCGGTTTACAATCGGTTTATTCTATAAACCGGTCCAGTTTCGGTTTGCATTTTGTCTAAACCGAATAATCGGTTCAGTTTCCGATTTCCCGTATTCGGCTCGATTAACCGGATTATCCCACCCTTAGCTAAAATACTGAAGAATTTTTCCTTTTCAGATGATTTTTCTAGATGAATTAAATAATCAGCTACTCGTTAAATGAATGGATTAGAGAACCAGAGACTTGTGTGTATTATGGTTTATTTGTTTAAAATAGAAAACAATAAAATCTTATCAAGTTCATCAGTATATTTGTGTATAATGAACATTTCATTATACACTCCGCAATTCAATATGATCATTGAATCATTCTTATCCTGTTCAAATTTATTTGATGCTGGACGGATTTTGCAACATCTCATCGATTATATTTAATATTAATGTATACTGAAGCACATCAAAGTAGGATAAATTTTAAAAAAAAAAAAGAAGATTTAAAGTCCTCAAAAGAGCTTGAGCATATACATATATATAACTCAGTACATATTTTATTCAACTAATAAACACAAAAATATCAGCCACTCTTACAAATAATAATCATAATCATCGATGTCAAACTGATGTAGGACAGATTTTCCTAAAATAATTAGGATTCTAATTTTAGGAAAATCTGTCTTATATCACAAACCTCGCAAACACTCTAGATCCTAATTTTAGGAAAATCTGTCTTATATCACAAACCTCGCAAACACTCTATGTACAAGCACACCTATAATCTTCTTGATGAGTTCACCCTATCTTTATATATGTATCGGTTTCCATCCAGAAATTTCCACACTTTATACTGTAATATAAGAATATTTTCTAAGCTAATAATTTCTTTATCTACATATATACTTTTTCCACTCCCAGATGAATAAACCCTAGCATCCGTATACACATTAATTTGTATGGTCACTTTCAGTGAAGGCCACGCGTGTTATTAAGCTGATCTTGAAATTGCATAATGGAGTTCCACTGATATTGGCTGAAATTATTGTCACCCTCTGACTGGTCTGTTTCATTGATGTTCATCTCAGTAATGCTATCGTTACTTACAGATATTATATTTTCCTCCTTTTCAACATCTCTCGGATTCGCCATTTTCTTACTCTGTGGAAAATCATCCTCTCGCTCAGTTCTCTCCGTGCTGAGCTTTCTTTTCAGCGGGTTGAACAAGTTGTCGAAAGAAGAAACTGAAAATGGGATGTTCTCACTTTCTTGAAAGCTTATGCTTGAGGCTGTAGTACTATCTATGGAAGGAAAACTATCTTGAGAGGCAAAGATGTAAGGTAACATCGGGCAATCGTTGAACAGATAACTTTTCACCATCTCCATTTTGGGGTTTGCACTCATCGGCCAGAGCTCATTCACTTTTGGGAGAAAGCTAGTTTCTTGATCACATACAGGATCTTTTATATCCTCCCAGTTGTTCCTTGGGTTGCTGCAGATCTTTTGCCTCACTCGACACAGCACCCAATCATCCAACTGCAATAGAACAAAAGTATTTCAATACACTTATACTTGAATATTCAGATTTAGATATCACAATTTCTTAAATTTGAGCTACGTATGAATCTGAACAAGCAATGAACATAGAGATAGACTCTGAACAAACAATTAATACTATACAAATATGAGATAAGGATCTTCTCCTGATCTGAACTCATCTGAGGATTTAAGGATCTTATGATACCTACGTATTTTATTTATTTATAATGCAAATATATTTGTCTAATATATTAATATTTTGTAACTGTTAATCGCAAGCCTTTAAAAGTTTATATAGATCAAGAGAGGATGTTAATCCAAACAAATGACTTGAAGACAGACTGAATTCGTCTCAAAAGATCATAACTTCACTGGTAAAACTTTTTTCTAACGAAAAATCACTTCGTCACTCTTTCGTGGTAAAATCAGCGTAGTTCATTATAAGTTAAACTATATATATATATATATATATATATAACTCACCCTCATAGAGCCTTTCCGCTTTGGGGTCCAAGCCATGGTATCGAGTAATCGATATTCATGCATGATCCAGTCTGTCTTGAATCCTTTCGGAGGGCGACCTTTGTAAAACACAAGAGCTTTCTTGACTCCAATACTTTTAGTTCCACAGGAAGTAAGAATCGGTTTATCAGTCCCTGTAGCCTTCCAATAACCTGAAGCTGAAGCTCTATTAGGCCGTGCTCCATTAGGGTATTTTCTATCTCTTGGGGTGAAAAAATACCATTCATCCTCTCCAAACAACGCTTTCTCTACTCAAATAAACAAGACATCATGCATATATTTGTTAAAAAGTTTAAAAAAAAAATAAATGAATAATATATATTGAAATATATATGAACCAATACATACTTGGAAGATCCCATGGGTTATATTTATATAAATTGATTTCAGCGATGATGGAAGCTGGAAGGGGAGTTGAAGTGACTTTGTTTTTCAAATAATGAACGATGAGCTCCTCATCAGAGGGGTGGAATCTAAAACCAGGAGGAAGCAGTTGAATATCTGAGGTGGGTTTTTTCTCCATGGAAGGATTAAGCATTGTTAATTCTTAGTGCTGAAAAGAACAAGAAGAGACAATGATATTATCGATCTATACAGATGTAAATGTTGGAGCACTGTGCAAAGTTAGTGTTATTATATAGAGATTGATTTTGTGTCTCATGCAAAAGCGGAAATGGGCGTTATTTACCGAATAATTAATTAAATATTTTGTGATAATGATATAGTGAAGGTTCAAAGAAACAGATCGATGGATTGCAACTTATTTGTCCTAATCAATCTTATGTTTTCTTATTGGACTAAAGTTCTTTGATTAATGATCATTTTCATAATTTTTTATTTTTGTTTATTTTATACGATTACAAATTAAGATTAAATTAATTAGTATGCATTTATTCTGTAACTAATCTGTCATAAATTGGATATACTTTAGTAGGATTCATTAGTTAATGACAATGCTAAACAAATTCGATCTCCTTTCTAGGACCTTTCACTTGTTTCTTATAGATCGATGGACAATGATAATGTGCTCTTACCGCATGATACAGAATAATCTTAAAGAATATTGATACAGAATAATCTTAGTTTTAAACGATTGAATATATGCTGTGCCGTAAATCATAATTTTTTTTTTTTAATTAAATTCTATCATTTAGTCTTCTAAATCTGAAAAAGACACATTGTAATCAAAGGAATTAAATTATAGATCCATTTTCATGAAGTATTTCAATTAGTTTTAACTTTTTATAAACATTCTTCTTGAAAAATGCTTCAGGAAACATCATGAGATCAAATATATGTACGTAAAACAATCTCAATTAGCTTAATCTACATAGCTTAATTAAGACTTTTACCGGGGCTTAGTAATATTTAAGTTATGATTCGTCTTTTAAAAGTTTGATTCAGCAAATCTACGACCTAGATATATACCTAGTGTGAGGATTGAGAGGGCAAAAGAGACAATTGAAGAGAGTGGAGTATACCCAAGAGAGCAAGAGAGACAACTGAAAGGGTAAAAGTATGCCTGAGAGGAATTCAATTTAATGGTATTGAGTTGTGTATTTTAGTTGTGAATACATAATCTATTTACACAAAAGTGTGACAATTATGTAAAAATTGAAAATATTACAAATAATGATACAATCTCAATAACAAAGCAAAGGAAATCATATCTTAGCATAATTAAGAATGAGAATAATTCACTTATTCTCATTCCATGTCTGGATTATATGTGAATTAATGTCATATATTTTCTTCCATTGTCAACACTTAGTGATAATGTTTTTGCCATTTCATTTTCATTGCTTAACCAGCAAATATACAATTTATTATTTTTTTCACAAGATTACTTTAAAAATAGACAATGAACAGTGTCATATAAGTTTTTTCTTTGATGAAAACCCCTGGACACTGCTCACAATTATTTATAAAGAAAACATGTTTTGTAATTCCTGTATAATGAGTTTTTGTAGAGCAAGAGTAACTATTTCAACATTAATGGAATATTAATTAGTAATTAAGCAGAGAACAAATCACATTAACATCACCAATGTGATGGTGATGATGACATGTTGGTGATAAGAAGTATTGAAGTGATGGACAATTTCATAAAGTAAAATATAAAGGTAGAATGAAATATGCAACCTTTTGTTTTCATTTAAACAATACCCAGTTGCTTTCATTCAAACAAACAATGGCCAATACGATTTTTGTAAAGGATGCTAAACTTTTGTTTACAACTGCTTTTTATATGTTTAATTACAACTTTATATTTATATATTTTATAATGTTTGGTTGTATTTTTTATTTTTATTCTTATTTTTGGGCTACGCTAGTTGTTCTTTTTCTATGAATATGTTTGTAACTTGAAATTCTCAAAAAAAAAAAAAAATGGGTCTATCATCTTATAAACAATTTTTCATCACTTGAATTAGTGATCTAATAACAAAGGAAGAATTGAGAATAGGTTAAAATAAAAGAGTAATACTATGCATTCTAAAAGATGATTCAAAATTTTCATCACTAATAATGTATTATGTTATTTGGCAATGTTACATCATCTGTTGATGCAAGAAATCATAACAACGAGAGATACGTGATTGACATCGTTAGAATTACATTGAATGTTTGCATAATCTTAATGGATCAGCGATGAGACAAAGCGATTATGTATGCAAAACCTACGTCTACTACTATGTATTGAGCGTATTTGCTATCTGAGTTATAAAGAGTTATCTCAAGTTCTCTCTCGAGTTCTCTCTTTCCTAGCCTAGCCGTCATTCTATGTGTATATTTTGTCGTCCCTCTAAACATATTAGGGTTGGGTTTATATAACACCCGTTACAAGTTTTAATTAGAAATAAATATTGAATCCTTAGAGTAGGAAAACAGCTTGATCTTCGACTATGATTCTAGAATCCGTATCACATGATATCTCCTTGCCAAAGTTGAAATTATCCTTCCCTAATAGAGTGTTATCGTTTTCGAATTTACCACACAACATCATTCGCGAACTCACCATTTGATTTAAATCTCTACACTATACAAGATTACACATCGCTTGAATAAATATTTTAAGTTCAAACCATGAATATAAAATGCTTTTACATTGAGTTTGATTACGAAAATTAGTTTGATTTAAATCTTCATTCATTCATATCTTCATTCATTCATCTTAATCTAATGATGATGTTAAGATCAGTCTACAAATTATCAACATTAATTAAATTGGAATTTTTATAGTTTAACTATTGAATTTATAAGAAGAATTTAAATCAGGATATCATCATGCTGTATCTGTGTAAATAATAGAAATGACATCCTGGTCATGAAAAGATGAAACACAGTGAATTTGAGGAAATATAGAGTAGTGGTAGATACGAAGATAATTGATAATGGTGATGTCAAATTCACTAACCTCGTAATTCCCTAATAAATATAGATATAGTTTCCAAATCAAATGTCAATTTTAAGGATATATTTAAGATTTTTTAGTGAGAAAAGTGTCGGTGATCTTGTCAAATATGTCAGCCCATCCCATTATAAAATTGAATTATTTTAGCACTATCTTCACTCCACCATATATATCCATCTCATTTTCTTACAAAATTATCTGATCAAATACATTGAGGCTAGGGGTGCATGCGAGCCGAGCTGAGTCCAGTAATAACTGGCTCGAGCTCGGCTCGTTATTGTTGGAGTGCAGATCGAGCTCGAGCTCTAACTTGTTTCATAAAATTACCGGCTCGAGCTCGACTCGAACACTTATTAACCGAGCCGAGCACGATTAAATAATAATGCAAGAATGAAAAGCCTCTCTCTTCTGTTTAACTCAGACAAATTATCATACACTTACATACAAATCAATAAATATAAAAAATAATAAAATAATAAAAAAAATTCAACTTCAATTTAATCAATTTCACCAAAATCCCAGAATACAAACTAGGAAAATGGGCCAACCACTTGATCCCAAAGAAACCTTCATCCCAAAATCAACATTCAAAGCAAAACATAAGCTCTAAATTCAACAATCCTTCATCCTAAAAACAACATCAAAGCAAAACACAAACTGTAAATTTAACAATCCTTATCCAAAAACAACATTAAAAGGAAAACACAAATAGAAGCAAACATTAAGCATATGGAATTAAGTCCATGGGAAACAAAAAAGCATCCTATATATCAAATGTCTTCTTCTGCCATAGCAGTTACACATGCTACACAAACAAGAGCAGCAGCTTCTCTTTCTTGCATCCATCTGACCCACGAAGCTTCTCTTTTCTTACATGAGCAACAAGACCAACAGCCAAAGACATTTCATTTTCCATTTGGCTACCAAATAGGAAAAAAAAAANGAATTAAGTCCATGGGAAACAAAAAAGCATCCTATATATCACACGACTTCTTCTGCCGTAGCAATTACACATGCTAACAAACAAGAGCAGCATTTTCTCTTTCTTGCATCCATTTGACCCATGAAGCTTCTCTTTTCTTGCATGAACAACAAGACCAGCAGCCAAAGATATTTCATTTTCCATTTGGCTACCAAATAGGAAAAAAAAAAAAAAAAAAGATTGCATCAGATTACTAAAACAACAATGTGAATAACTAAGAATATCAATGAGAAATATTCAAAGCCGGTGCAGGGTAAATGAAGGCTGAGGTGAAATAAGGTTGAAGGGAAAATGTCTCTGTTTTAGGGTTTTTATAGCGCGGAGGTGAAATAAAGTTGAAGGGTAAATGAAGGCTGGTTGTTGGACGGTAGTAGCTGAATGAAGGCTAGATGAAGGTTGGACAATGGTGGTGTCTCAGATCTTGCGGTGTGATTTGGCAGAGGTGAAATAAGGTTGAAGGGCAAATGTCTCTGTTTTAGGGATTTTACGGCCGAATGTCTTTGTTTCAGATTTTAGGGCAAATCTGAATACGCAAGCTGAAACAAATCAATCGATCTCACGAGCTCTCCTACTCGAATAACATCTCAAGTTTCTCATAAGTTCGCGAGCAGTTCGAATCGAGCCTGAAAGACTCGACATTTTTTACGAGCTTAGAGATGAGCTCGAACTCATGAACTACTCAATTTTCAACGAGTCGGGCCTGAGTTTGTCACGAGTCGATCTCGAGTAGCTCACGAGCTACTCGGTTCGACTGCACCCCTAGTTGAGGCTCACCTATATCTGAATTTTTATCTAAGCAAATTAAATATAGGTTTTTTTATTAATAAAATAATAGTTAGTTAGGCTAGGCTTAACTTATGAGGACAAGTAATTACAAAATGGCTACAAAAAATTAGGGCATATTCATTTATGAACTCATTTCTTATCTTTCATTTATACTCTTTGGTAAAATGTAGGATAAATAATTTGTATATGAATTTTTATTTTTTATTTGATGGGGTTTTATCGGTTCGTATTTTCCATTCTTTTCTTTATGTTTTTAGACAATTATGTCGAACATGTTTTGATTTTTACATATTTAAATACAATTTTCAAACAAACATAATAAGCACATTTTAATTTTTTGCATTTTCCAATCA